GAAGCCAGGTTCACTGTGGTTAACTAACTTGCTGAAGGTTATCCTGCCAGATGGAAGTATGATTCTGAATCAATAAATGTGCATAATATCCACTAAAGCTTTGGAGCCACGCTGACAGGCATGGTACTAGGATGGAGAGAAAGGGAGACGCTGCAGAGATGCTCTGTCCTGGAGGTCATACTGTGACAGCAGCCTTATGCAAAGAAGCTACCAACCATTAGTCATAGGACATCACCAGGGCCCAGCTCGTAGTAAGGCCTATGTGCTGACGGCTCACTCATCCTCATTTCTGTCTCCTGGGACCAGGTATTTGGGGGTACTAGTGTGATTCAGGCTCTGATCCCTAATCCACCAGGAACAGGTAGCAAAGCCAAGATAGACAATCCCCACTGTTAAAATCTCTAGTTTGGCAAACGAAGATAAAGGCAGACACATGCATTGTCACATATGTGCTTGAAAATTCTGTTCTAATGCAGCACATAATTTTACATGCCTTGCCAGGCATGGGACACACACCTGTAATTCCAGCTCTCCGGAGGCTGAGGCAGGAGGATCACAGTGAATTCGAGGCCAGCCTGATCTACATAGTAAAACCCTGTCTCAAAAAACACAAAAATTTTTGCATGCCTTCTCTTGCCAGTTATTCATACTTTCAAACCCACTGAGCCACACTTTCAACCTTGTCCCTACTGTCTCCAAGGTGAGCCCTGGCTGCACAAGGGAACCCAGCCCATGGGAGCCCACGCTGTGTTATTTCCTGAGTCTTGCTGGGTACATTCAGGAGAGAGAATGGCAGCTGGCAACGGGGAGGATGGATCAGCTGGTTTAAGTTGGGAGAGAAGATACAGGTGGCAGGTGCCTAAGGAAGCACAGCCGAGTCTGTGGAGAGCCCAGCTCCCAAATGCTGCTGCAGCTCCAGGCAATCACAGCAGCAGGCTTCAGGAAGGGAGGACGAGCGTGGGTGTGCTCCAAGCCACCAACCCGCTCCCAACCAGCCTAGGAAAATGAATGAGCCATCAGCCTGCGCCTTTGCTCTCCAAGGAAATGACCTCCCGCTGCAGGCCGTCCCTCTGCAAACACCATTGAGCCCAGGAACCATCTGGCAAATGTGCCAGTTCTTTCAGAGTTGCTGCTATTTCCCTGACATGTGAGCTTCTTTTTCTTGGATATAAATTGTTGCAGCAAACCTAGCCAGTAGAATGCTTCCTGGAGCATCCCGGGCTTTTCCCGGAGCCGGGGTAACCCTGTGGCTTGCCGCCATGCGGCTGCTGACAGCTAACAATGCTTCAGATGTGTGGTCTCCCCTCTGCATGGTGCCTGTGCGTGTTGGTGTGTGCAGAGCCAAGCATACAAGCTCAGACCAGAGCTGCAGCAACCGGATTGAGAGGCTGAGGGAAAGCGCATTTCCGTTGCAGGACATCCTTCACGGGGAAGGGACAGGTTAACTCCACCTCAGCCTGCAGAGGACTTGGACAACTCTCTGAGGAGCCACAACGACTCACCACAGCTGTAGGGCAGATCATGTGCTCTAGCCACACGGGGGAGGGCGCCCAGCAAACCGAAACCACCCACAGCAGCCTCAGCCTCATTTTGCACAGAGCCAGGTTCCTTCTGTGGTCTGGCTTGATGGTGTGCAGAGCCGGGGAATTGTGGGTCATTTTGATACCACCAGAGCCAGCCTCCTTGCTCCAGCCTGCTTCACTCTGATTCTGATGCAGGGCACAGTGGAGGGCAGGAGCTGGAAGGGATGCTCATTCTTGGACTTGTTCTTCAGGTCACTCATCTCCTTGGTGATGGGCTTCCGGGCAGGAAGGTCACAGTGAGGCAGCAACCATATCCTCTCCTCCTAACCCGAAGAGTGCTGGATCCTTATGGAGAGAAAGCAGTCAACGCAAAGACTGCATAATATCACCCTAACGACAGCCGACAGCCGACAGGCAATTCCTGGGCAGATTCACACCTTCCCGCCCGTAGCACATACAGTTCCTTCTGTCTTGAATATATCAAGCCTTAGTCCCGGCAAACTCCTACATGGTCTTTTGAGATTCAGCTCCAGCCCAGCAATGGTGGCCTGCATCTATAGTCCCAGGACTGCGGTTGCCGGTTGCCAGTTGTCGAAGCAAGAGGATTGCAAATTCAAGCCCAACATGGGCAGTTTAGAAACTTAGTAAGACCTTGCCTCAAATTAAGTAAATAAATAAGTAAATAGGCTGGCGGTAGCTCAGTGCAAACACCCTGGGTTCAATCCCCAGTAGCACCAGAAAAAAAAGGAAAAAGGAAGGGCCAAGGATACAGCTCAGCAGTATAAACACCTGCCTGGTAAGCACAAGGTTAGGAGTTTGATTCTCAATACCCAAAAGAAAAAGGAGGAGGAGGAGGAGGAGGAAGAAGAGATGGAAGAGGAGGAGGATAGATGCTGGATGTGGTGTTGCATGCCTGTGATTCCAGCACTTTGGAGGTTGAGGCAGGAGGATCACTCCAAGTTTGAGGCCAGCCTGGCTACATAGTGAGTTCAAGTCCACCCTGGACTACATATAGTAAGATCCTGTCTCAAATCCCCCTCCCCCAAAAAAGAAAAGAAAGAAAGAGATTCAACTTCAGCGTCACCTAGCTGGGCCCCTCTTTTTGCTGCTATATACTTTGCACCCATTATCTACTCTCTACTGGTCAAAATGTACCTGTAGTTTTTTGTTTCGTTTTGTTTTTTCTTTTTGAGTCAGGGTCTCACTGCACAGTCCAGGCTAAACTTGAACATACCCTGTAGTTTAGGCTAGACTCAAACAGCAATCCTCCTGCCTCAGCCTCCCCAGTTCGGGGACTACAGCTGCGCCACAGTATCTGGCGTACCTGTAGCTTTTTCCAATGTTTTTCCACCTGAACTGAATCTTCCTTCCTTCTTTCTTCCCTCCCTTCCTTCTCTCCTTCCCCCTCCCTCCCTCTTTTCTTTTTTCTTCCTTTCTTGCTCTCTTTCTGTGGTACTGGAGATTGAAACCAGGGCCTTCACACTGAGCTACATCCTCAGCCCCTTTTTATTTTTCATTTTGAGACAGGTTCTCAGCCACTAAATTCCCGGGCTGGGTTTCAACTTGTGATCTTCCTGCCTCAGCCTCCTAGACCCTCCAGAGTGCTGGGATTACAGGTATGCCCCACCACACCTGTCTGGTTTGAAGCCCACTGAGGGCAACACTATGTCTCACTAACTCAGTGGAGGTGGTTTGGTCTATAAAAACATTTCTCTGCAGTGTTTCAGAAAAGAAATTGCACACCACAGAATTCAGAATTCTCCAGCCAAGGTCTGTTAGTCCTTCTCTCACTTGTTTCACAAAATACAAAGTGGAGATGAGGAAACCGTGCCTTCCTCCGGATCTTAAGGCTAAACACTGACAGACGCTGGACAAGTGCCCAGGTTTGCTGACCCCTTGTCCTGCTGTCGGGGTACCCTGGTCCTGCCTGGGAAGCACGGCTGGCAGTAGTGACAGGCTGCTGGGCCAGCGCCAAGGGGAACAGGGGCAGATCTCAGAGCTGGTGGGATTCACGCTCCTCTAGCGCAAGCCCTGCATGTGCAGATGAAGAAATGGGGGCCAGCAGGGCCAAGGCGACCCCCCAAGGTCGCGTACTGGTGATGGAGCTGAGCTGAGCATGCAGGCCTGACTGCTGCATCCTGGAGAGGTGAGAGTTAACCACCCACCCGAAAGACAATGGCCGATGGCCGAGCCCCCCAGCCAGCTGCTAGCTGAGGGGCAGACTCCTGGAGTCCTGGCCCTTCTAGGCTTTTCTTTACCTCCTGGTGGCACAGCACTTCAGCGGGTGCGCTCTGCATGAATAACAATGAAGGGAGGAAGGCCGGGTGTCTGGGCAGGCAGCGTGACAGATGGTATTTACAATGTGCACGCGAAGTCCTCCGCAGCCTCCCAGGCTGTGTGGCTGAGAGCTACCGGAAGGAGACCAGGGCCCACTGTCTCACTCCTCTGCCTGCACTCCCGGCGGCTGCCGCTGCTTATTCTGTTCAGGGTCGTTTCTCTGGTGCCTCTCGCCTTCCCAAATTCAGAGCTCTAGGCCCCTGGTGCTGCCACTTCCCCTCACATCCAAAAGCCCACCTTGTGGGCCACAGGCCATTCGCATGGAAGCCTTCCCTGGACTAGGAGTGGGCTGAATGCACATCTTTCCCGAAAGAGATTGGGGAGTCCCTAGGAGGCCAGATGCTGGACGGCCTTTCTTATTATACACGGGGCACGCTCATTCACTGAATGTATATTTCTGGTGACTTTCTGTCAAAGACATTGCTGTGAGCAAACAAAGCCAAGTGCTTGCCCTTGGGGTCACTACGTTCTAATACAAAGGCCGTGCACATATGGGTAACTGCCCTGCCCCCTGCCCCTGACCCTCACAGCTTTTTCCCCTCTAGAGTCTGCCAGGGCACACTGGGGCCTGTCCACTCAGCGCTGCAGGAAAGCAAACCATCTCCCCTTCTTCTGGGGACACCGCACTCAGCCACTTAGGGGAAACAAAGCAGCTGAGTGTGTTGGCACTCATCTGTAGTTCCTGAACCTTGGAAGGCTGAGGCAGGAAGATTGTGAGTTCAAGGCCAGCCTAGGTAACTTGGCAAGACCCTGTCTCTTATTTTTTAAAATACGAGAAAACAAAGCAGATGAATAGAGCAATGTTTGCTTTTGCTCCAAAACGGGAGCAGCCTTCAAAGTTTCTGGCTCACCCAAGCTGCAAGCCTGCAGCTGGACTGGCCCTGTTGGGGCCTCTGCTTTAATCCTGCCCAGGTGCCCCAAGGAGGAGTCTTTGGCTGCAGTGGTCAGAGCCAAAAACAAGGGAGTCATCCAGGGGAGGTGGTGGATTTCACTCTTAAAATAAGAGATCCGGTAAGAGGAGTGAAAATCAAAGCTCCTCTGGGCCCAGGGATTTTAGTGCTCCCATTTGTAAAATGAAAGCAGTCGTGTCTGTTCTGTGGGCCTTTTGGAGAATGAAAGGAAATGACAAATGTGGAAGTGTTTTGAAATAAAAGCAGCAGACACACAAGTATATCATTATTACTATGCAGAACAATCGTTCCTCCATAACATAAAACTTGTCTTCTGGGGGGTGTTGAGAGTAATAACTATGTAATTAGACTGCATGTCATATCAAGAGAGGCATGCTCTGGTTCTTATTAAACAGACGTTTGTTTGGCTTCTCCGGTGTACAGTGCTGTGTACTGGGATGCATGCAAACTGAGTAAGCCATAGTCCTCCCCTTTAAAGCATTCACTTTCTGGTCTTAGGAAGATAAAACTTAGATGATATAATGCAAGGGCAAAAGGAGAAAGTGGTTCAGAGGCAGGAGGCGTCTGTCTGGGATCCAGAGTTGAGGAAAGTCTTGGAGGGGGAAAAGCATTGACCAGAGATGCACGGGATAAAACAGGAAGAGCCAGGCATGGTGACACATGCCTGTGAGCTCAGCACTCGGGAGGCTGAGGCAGGAGGATCTCTGTGAGTTTGAGGGCTGTCTGGACTACACAGTGAGTTCAAGTCCAGCCTGAATTACATAGCAAGACCCTGTCTCAAAGACAACAATGCCAGGTATGGTGGCACATGACAATCCCAGCACTCGAGAGGCTGAGGCAGGAGGATCATTGCAAGTTTGAGACCAAGCTGGGCTATAAAGTGAGCTCAAAGTCACCCTGAACTGCAGAGTGAGACCCTGTCTCAAAAAGACAACAGGGCTGGGGATTTAGCTCAGTGGTGTAAGCACCTGCCTAGCAAGCATGAAGTCATGAGTTTGATCTCTGGTGGCGGGGGGCAGAAAAAGACAACAACGAAAACCCAAAAACAAATTATAAAGACATTAAAAAGATGGGATACAATATCCACTGAGCAGACAAGACTGCCTTTGGCATCACTGAGGTCCTTCAGAGGTGTCGCAGGCCCTGGAGATGGCAGGCAAGGACGGTTTAGATTCCCTGAACATGTGATTGATTCAGTCTTGGGACAGGGAACATTTCCTGTGTACTTTTCTGAGCTCCACTTTTGACTGCCCATACCTCTTTTTGAAAGGGTTCGGTGTCTGTGAACCTAGACGTCTTTCAGTAATGATTTAAGTGACTCAGAAAAATATGAGGCCCTGGAGTGCAAGGAAGAGAAGAAAGGAAAGGGAAAAACCTCCGCTTAGCAGCCCTGTCCTGTTTGATCTCGCAGAGGGCGGGCAGGCAATCATGGGAGAAGGCCAGGGCTGGGGATGGAGAGCGGCTGGGTTCCCAGTGGCAGCGGTACGTCTGCTGTTTGGACTTGCAGACTTCAAACATGACTGGGGGATTCCTGGAAGACAAAAGAATTTAGGGCCGAGGCTTGGATCACAGTCAAAAATAACTCATGTCTTCATCTCAGACAGGCAAATGGCAGCAGCTCGGGGCTGGTTTGCTGGTTTCTCTGAAGACTGGCGTTACAGGTGGGGACTGGTTGGCTCAGGCTTGCTGGAGAGATGGAGGAGCCCTGCAGGGTGCGGCCTGGCTGAGGGAGACTGAGGATGGAAACTGCAGCTGTTGGGGGGCCCAGTGGAGGAGGCTCTGGGTACAAAGTCACCCCCACCTGCCCTGCCCTCCTTCTGGGCAGGCGAGCAGGCCCTGCCATTTGCTTTGAGTGATAATTATAGCCTTTAATGTTCCTTCCCTGGCTGCTCATTAGCTTCAGGTATCCACAAACAAACTGTTTCACTCTGCTTCCCTCTGCTCCCCAAGGCTCCTCCTGGCATTTCAGCGGAGGCCTCTTCCTTCTGACTCTAGGCTCAGGACATCAGACCCTCCACACAAAGTCCCCCTAGGATGCAGTGGCAACAAGGCCCCCTAACCTGTCTCCGCCCCTGAGATCCCACTGCGCTGTAATTAGAGGCCAGGGCTCCTGAGTTGTCCCCTCCTTGTTGTCTCAGCACCTCAGCCAAGGTCTGGCACCTAATGGACACTCACACTCATGAAGTGTTAGTTGAGTAGCCTGTTGAGTAGATGCCAACTTAATCTTGCTAAAATGCTGCTCCTGTGAAAGCTGCCACCACTTCTCCAGTATCCGCCAGACAAGGCCCAATGTCCTCCAACCGACTGACAGACTGACCAGCGCTCCAGGACTTCTCACCCACCTGCCACCCTCACTTCGTGCTCACCCCTTAATGGTTCCCTGTGTGGTCCACAGCTGTGCCTCTCTGTGCCTCTGCTGTTTCCACTACTCAGAAATCCTTCCATGCTCTTGACCCCAGCGTGGTCCTTCCTCCCAAGGTTCCTTGCACAGCGTGCTCGGATCTCTTGGAGTCTGAACTACTCTCTTCCCCAGGTCTACACTTTGTAGCTGAGGTTCCTCCAAAGAACCACATGTTAAATAAAGAGTTGGTCCCTGGAGTGGCAGAAGACTTTTAGGTCAGTAGGACTGGATTCCAGAAGGGGATCGTGGGATCCCATTCTCCCTTTTCCTCTCTTGCTTCCCAGCCATGAGGTGAAGAGTTTTGCTCTGCCACACACTCCTGCCATTTTGCGCTGCCTGGCTATCAGCCCACAGCAATGGGGCCAAGTGATCTGAATTGCCGTGTCTGGAACTGTGAGCCAAAATACACCTTTTCTCTTTATAAATTGATTGTCTCAGGTATTTTGTTATAGTATTGGGAAGATAACTAACACATTTAGACGCTTATCCTGTTCTTCACTGGCTTACAGTGACTCATTGTAAGCCACAGGTGTGGAGTGCTCCCATAATGAAGAGCAGGATACAAATGTCAGTCAACATTGTTTGCTGCCACTGGTCACCAAGCCCCAAGGGTTCTCCCACGGCAGGCTTGGCTATGGTGGCTGGTGAGTGAAGATGAGTGGAAACTATGATTGTTCCCACTATGTCCCTTTCCTGTACAAAATGAGTCAGTCCTTTGGTGTCTTAAATTGGGGGTGGGGGCACAGAAGGTATCAGGTGGCCAAGTACTCCCATCCCTTGGACCCCAGATTGCCCCCCCCCCCGTTGGTGGTCAGACCCAGCTGCAGGTTCTCCAGAGTGGGCTGGTGGAGAGGCTGAGGTCACACGGGGACTTCAGGTGAGAGGTGGCCTCAGGTTCACCGTTGTTGGGTATCACAGCTCACCCTAATGGTTTCCAAATTGGGATGGCCATTTCCCTCCCAGCAGCGGCCAGGGTGAGGATTCTGAGAGGCTGGAATGCTTTCCTCGGTGCCTCAAGAATGCCATCTGCCAAGGTGAGACACCAGCTGCTGGGGCAGAAGGAGGCACTTGAGTCCCTGTGGGCACTCAGCTCCTTCCTCTCCTGCCCCTGCTGCTGTCCTGGGACCGCTCCCGGGAAGGCTCTCTCCTGGTTATGCTCAGGCCAGTCTCCCTCCTATCCATCCCTAAACTACAGTCAGAGGGATATTTTATTTTTGAGACAAGGTCTTGCTATGTTGCCCAATTTGGCCTTGAACTTGGGCTCAAGGGATTCCTCCTGCTGAAATCTTCAAAGCAGTTGAAACTCCAGGAATGTGTCACCAAAAATGTCTAGAAGGATCTTTTTGTTTTTGTTTTGTTTTGAATACTAAGGTTAAACCTAGTGCCATTACACGAAGCTGTATCTCAGCCCTTTTATTTTATTTTATTTTGAGACAGAACCTCACTAAGTCACTTAGTTTCCCAGACTGGGCTGCAACTTGCAGTCTTCCTGCCTCAGCCCTCTAGAAGGCTGAGACTACAGGTGTATGCCACTGTGCCCAGTTTACAGAGATCTTTTTAAATATTAGTCTCCTGCTCACACCCTTTGTGGCTCCCCATTGCTCTTAGGATGGAGACCAAGTTCTTCCTAAACTCACATTCCCTCATAACCTTGCCCTCCAGCCTGGGCACTTTCCAGGGGACACCTTGCTCTATTTTCCAACCATGCCAAATTGTCCCCTTTCCATACCAGGCTTCTGCACCTGCCCAGCCTTTGCTGGTGCTGTCCTCTCTGCTTGGAGTGGCTCTTCCTTACCTTCCAAGTTGCCTAATTATTTGGCAGGAGGAACCTTTGGGAAGACTTTGGGATTCACAAAGAACTCCCTCCTTTGGCTTCCCTGGAATCCAAGATATATCCTTATGTTGACCAAGCCTATTGGCTCCAATTAAACCATTTGTGCAGGGCAGGGTTCCATCCATTTGGTAATCTCACAGCTCTAACAGAGCACAGTAAAGGCTCATAAATTTAACAAAAGCTGCTAAGGACCCTTCCACCTGAAGGGAGAGCAGAGCTGGTTACGATGATAAAGCTGTCACTGGGTTGGCAAAGAGGCAGGATGCAAGGGGCAGCTGGGGTCAGGACACTGCAGAGCTGCCAGCCTTCGAGGCAGAATGGCCAGCTCCTGCCTGTGCCAGCTTCTCCTTCAAGTTCCCCTGGAACCGGGCTTCCTGGCTCCTTTCTGCTGTCTCCCAAAGGTCTGCACAGAACAGAGCCAGTGACCAAGCAAGCCAGGCGGCAGAGACAGCTACAGGTGAATTAAGTGGTGATACTGACCTCAGGGGTCCCCCCAGTAATGACCTCATGGTTCCCAGCAGCTGCTTATTCTTGTGGACTTCTTTCCACAAAGAAGTCAGCCTCTCTGATGTCCCCTGAAGGCTATTTTCAAAACCTAACCCCATGCAGGCAGTTTTATTTACAAGGAAATCTTGGCAGGATCTTGACTTGTTAGTAGAGTAGGGATTGGGGGGAGGGTGGTAAGAAACAAAAATAGTTGAAACGATCACACTTTCTGAGAGTGAGATGAAAATTGGTGTCTGTAGCACTCACCTAATTAGAAGGGAGTTCATTTCCTTCTTGGTGTTTAAGGGGCGCAGTCACTGCTGGGAGAGGTGGTCACAGGTGGGACCCTGGGGCTGCAGGCAGATGACAGCATTAATTGCAACTTTCGCTAACAGAGAAGGAGGCTCAATTTCGAAGAGCGAGAGGGGCAAAGGTGGGTGGGTGAGCGACCGAGTGGCCGGAAGGGTCGTGGAAGGTCACTGACTGGGGGGACCGCCAGGAACGAGCGCCCACCCCATCCCCAGCCTCCGGGAAGAACTTAGGGGAGACGGCTCTTTTCTGCAGGGAAACGGCCCGGTTTTTTTCCTTAAAAGATCCTTTACCCCTCTGCTAACTTCATTCCAGCTTTCTCATTTCTTCACCTCCCCCTTTCCAGGTAGAAAGCACCCAGGGCTCAGAGTGGTGACAGCAACCCTGGGAACGGTCACAGAGCTCTGAGCGGAGCCGGGGCAGAGGGTTAGGGTTTGGGGCTCCAGAACCTCCCTGTCTTACTTCTCCCACCCCCAGGCTTCCCGGACCTCCCCAAACGAACTGCGATCACTGAGAACACAGAAACATAAGGGTGGTGGTGGTGGGGGGGGATCCAGCCCTCCCAAGTTAACCCTGACGTTACCAAAGTAGTGAAAATCTCGCTCTGTCTCCGTCACAAATCTGCAACCTCCAAGTGCTCGTTAAACCGGTGGGGGAGACGCACCCCGGCCCAGCGGGGCTGCTGGTCGCGGCGCAGCAGAGACGCGATTCCCACCCCTGCCCGGGCGGTGCAGCCGCTCGCCCCCCCCCCCCGCCAAGGCGCCCCCTCCTCCTCCCGGGACGCGAGGTGCTGACCGACCTGGCCCGGGCAGCGGGGGCGGCGTCCAGCCTGGGGTGCGGGCTGGGGGGCGGGGGCCCCGCGAGCAGCCCCGCCCCCGCCCGCGCACAGTCCCCGAGGAGCCCGCGGGGAGGAGCGGACGCGGGCGCAGAGCGGGGGCCGCGCGCGGCGGGCAGGGAGCGCGGGGAGCGGCGGGGCCCGGGGCGGCCCAAGGGCGCCCTCGCCGCCGCGGAGGAGCCGGGCCGGGGGGCCGCGGAGGAGGCGGAAGCCGGCTGGGCGGCGAGCGCGGAGAAGTTTGGCGGCGGCTGGGCCGGGCGTCCCGGGGTTGCGGGGCGGCAAGGACCCGGGCCATGGAGGCGGGCGCAGGGTGGGCGCGGCGCGCACGGAGCCCCCCAGATCGCCGAGCGTCGCAAAGTTAGCGCAGAGCCCCGGCCGGCCCTGGACCCCGCCGCGGCCATGGGCGAGCACCCCAGCCCCGGCCCCGCAGTGGCCGCCTGCGCCGAAGCGGAGCGCATCGAGGAGCTGGAGCCCGAGGCCGAGGGGCGGCCGCCCGCGGCGTCTGAGGACGTGAGTACCCCCTTCCCCGCACCGGCAAACTTTCTGGGGGGCGTCCGAGGGGGGAGGGCTCCTGCCCCCGTCTCACCCCTGCAGGGCCACTTGCAGGTTTCAAGGTGATGCGGGAGCGCCCGGGATTGGCCGGGTCCCCCGAGCAGGAGGGGCAAGGACCGGTCTCCCCAGATCGCACGCGCGCCGCCCGGCGCCCCCGCGGGACCCGCGCTGCGCCAGGACCCGAGCCCCCTCCTCGCGCTGGTGCAGTGCCCGGGACACGGCGCTCGCCTGCAGAGGCGGCCGCGTCACAGCGGTGACTCCCTTCCCTCCCTTCCGCGACCTGCGGACTCTGTCGGCCCGGGGAGGGAGCGGGCGCCGCAGAGTCCTCCGTCTCCATGAGCGCAGACTGGGTCTGGCGACCCCTTTCCGGCTCCCAGATTAGCTCCGTTCCGGCACCTGCCGGGTCGCGTCACTGATTTAAATTCAAACTGGCTTCGGTCCCTGAATCCAGCCGGAACTGAGAGGGGTGCCGAGAGCAGTTTGGTCCCCAGGAGAGGACTCGGGAGTCTGAGGGTCCCCCCTCCACGGGCGAGGCCAGGGAAGGACTGTCCCAGAGGGCTTCCCTGCCCTCTACGCTCCTCTCTTTTCTGCCGCGCCTGGGAGCCGAAGGCGGGTCCCACACTGGAGTTGCTTAAGCTTCTCCTCCGGGGGTTAACCTGCAAGGAGGGGCGAAAAACTGGGCGACGCACCATCTGGTCCTCAGGGTAGGGAGATGGGCCTGAAACCAGACCCCAGGATGCCCAAACGAAAGCTGGGTAGTTTACCATCTCCTGGCTTCTGGATGGTTAAACCTATCACTTCTGGCCTTAAACCCCGGGTAAAGAAGTCTCGTACTCAGCACAGAAACTCAGCTTTGGAAGAGAATTCAGCATATTGGGAATCCTCCTCTTCCCCACGCCCCCCAAAACCTGCACGCAAAATGTTAGTGCTTATACAGGGTCCAGGTCTTCTGAGTAGGTGGAGTCCGTGCAGGACCTGAGAGTCTTACGCTTGGGCTGCATTCAGAGAGTAGATGTGGGTATAAGGAGAAGTTACCCAAGGCCCCTGGCACAGTTGGACGCTTTTGTTTGGTAATTGCTGGAGGTCATCCTTGCTCTACTCATTCTGCCACCTAACTGTCCCAGAACGGGACATCTGCCTTGCTGCCCTCCTATTCCACCCGCCACCCCACTCTGGGAGTTTCCTTTCTGCCATTTGGGGAGTTTTCCCCAGGTTTCTGTGGACTCCTGTGGCCTGTCCCTAAGCCTGGTTCTGACCTGGGCAGCAGCTAGGAGGCTAGGTCAGGAGCATCAGGGGGCTACAGAGACCTTGGTGATAAATATGTCTTTCTCTTCTCTTCCTCCTCTCATGCACGGCCTTCCTCTCTACCAGCACTGGAAAGTCCTGTTTGATCAGGTATGTGAGCAGTTAAATCTTCCCTGCTTCCCTCCAGCCCTCCCTGAAATCAGTCTTAGTCTCCCTGCTTGCGTGGGCTTCCCTAGCTCTGCGCTCCTGAGATGGTGACGCGGCGTGGAGGTGTGGCTTACTGCATCCCGGGCTGAACAACTCTGCTCCCCAGGTAGCAGAAGGCGGGCAGTGGGCTCCCCTGGGAGAACCCTTCCCCCGCCCGCCCTCCTCCCGCTGCACCAGAGCTGGGCTGATACCTTGTAGGCATTGGGCGATGTGTGTTGAATGCCTGCAAAGTTTTCTACCGCACACGCCAAGGGATTGCGGTAGGGGGCTGGGGAGGTGGGGGAGGGGGTTGAGCGAACCCCCCTTTGGTTCCCTTTATCCCTCGACCATAAAAAGTCCAAGGCCACCACTGAAGTACAATCTCTGCCATCCTGGGGGGTGACTCACAGTATAGGCCCTTTTGAAAACTGATTTTGTTTCTTGTGTACTAGGGACAGGGAGGTTAAGTTTGGCAAACAGCATGTGATTTGCAGTGTGTCCTTGGTATAAGTGTGAGAAGAGGGGTGGGGGGAAGGGGACTTGCCTTGTGACTTGAGAAATGCACCTGTGACCCCCCTCAGAAAGGATCTGGTTCTCACAGGTGCCCTCTTTGTCCCTTGTACAGGAGGGGAGACAGCTGCCCCAGTGTTGGAGGACAGTTCTGCACTTGATCTTAGCCAAAAGGCCGAGAAACGATATAGGAGGATAGTTCTGGTGTGAGCATAATTGTAATGGGCAGTTGATGAGAGTCTGGTTTGTCTTTCTGAGACAGGGTCTCATGCTGAGTTTAGGTTGGCCTGCGAGCACACTGTGTAGCTGAAGATGATTTTAAATTTACAATAATCCTCCTGCCTCAGCCTCCCGAGTACTGGGATTACCAGTGTGTGAGTTTAATAGATCTGTGTGTTTGAACCAGAGCAAGTGTGTTGAGCTTGAGAGGGAAATAAAAGCTGAGAAAGCAGCTTGAGCCAAGCCTTTGTTCTAGGCAGAGGAGGCCCTTCCAAGTTTTTAAGCAGGGTTGTTTTGGGATCCAAGGTGTGCTGGAAAGACCCCTTGCGACAGTAGGAAACAAGCAGTGTGGATTGCAGGGATGAGAGAAACTAGCCAGAGGCCTGCCGCAGAGAGTGATAACCAGCAGCTTCTGTTGGCTGCTGTCTGTAGTGAGTACCTGAGATAATCAACTTATGAAAAGGTTATTTTGGCTCCTGGTTGTGGAGTTTCATTCCACAGTTGTTGCCCATTTGCTTTTGGGTCTTTGGGCAGCAGCACTTCATGGCAGAAACTTAGAGTGAAGCAAGACCCGCTCACCAAGCTAGGCATGGTGTTGCTGGCCTGAAACTCCAGCAGTGTGAGAGAGGCTGAGGCAGGAAGACTGGAGGTTCAGCTTCAGCCTGGGCGACTTAGTGAGACTGTGTCTCCAATTAAAAATGTGGTAAAAGGGCTGGGGGAGGTGGCTCACTGGGAAGGCGCTGGGTTCAATCTACTGCACACAGCAACAGCAGAACCCCCCTCAGCCATGAAGCAGAGAGAGAGTGGGGATGGCCTGCTGGCACGATGAGGCCACAACTCTTCAGTTTCCACCACTTCCCATTAGCTCAGGCTGGGGCCCAAGGTTTAGCACATCAGCCTTTGGGGTACACTTATCTGAACCCTAGTTAGTATACCTCAGTGTGGACAGGGATGCTGAGGGTGGAAAGAAAGAGGGCCTTGGCAAGAAGGGAATGAGCCTTGAGATGCTGAATTTAAGAGGAAAGGGGGAAAGTGGGCAAAAATGACAAGTCTGGTTTCAACAAATTCAATCTGGGGGGCCAGCTAAGGGCAGTTGCCCTAGTGGAGCTGGAGATCACGGGATAAAAGACGTGGTGAGTCTAGGCTGAGTGTTTGGGGTTATTCTCCCCTTTTCCACCGAGGCCTGGCTGTGGTTTAAGGAGCATCCCCCTGCTCCTGTCCCCTGCTCTTGTGTCACCTCCCTCGTGGCTCGTGAGCGCCACCCACTCACTCCCTCTGCCCCTATGAGTACAACAGCTGCTGGCCTGACGCTGTGCTCAGTGCTACCACCAAGCTGCCAGCCCTTCACACCTCCTGCCGGATATAGACTCAGAACCTGGAACAAAGTGTATCTTGCTTCTTCTCTGCGTCTTTCACATTTGATTAATTTCCTTTGCCAGTTCCTATGTGTGTGTTTACATTTTAAGACAAACCGTTTAGATGAATGGAGGAGAAACTGCAGTGGGACGAATTTGGAACTTGAGGGAGCAGAGAGAATGCGTAACACCCAGTAATCAGACGATGGTCCCTGAAATCCAGTTTGTCCAACTGGAGGAAGACCCTGGGTGTCACAGGGAGTATCCCCCTTGCTCCTGGACAGGCCCATCCAGAATTCACTCTGGACTGATTGGGTTAATTCTAGGCAAATAGACCATTAAAGCTTATCAGAGCAGTGAGTTCAGCCTGATGTCTGCTCCCTACCCCTCACAAGGCATCAGAGGCTTCTTCCTTCCGTTTGGTGCTCTGTGTTTACACAGAGCTGCTCCCGAGCATGGCTTTGACCCTGACACATATCCAGCCCTGTGTGTGTTACCCCTATGCTGATTGTCAGCCACCGTTCCACCATTCCCCAGAGGGGGCCTGAGGAAGAGTAAATGCGAAGCTTCTCGGATTGGACAGCACATTGTTCAGAAGGCTGACCGGTCCTGTGTTTCTTGCCTGTGCCTCCGCCTGACTCGTGGTCAGACTCAGACTTGGTGATTGTGGTAACCATGATGCATGTGGGTTGTAGGTGGCCCCCAGGACCTCTTTTCCTCTAGAAGTAAATCGGGATAGGTCCAATTGTGTGGAGCAGGACACAGCACCTGTTAGAGTCCCTGCAAGCAAATGTGGCTTCTGAGTCCACCACCCAGAGGTCAATAGCGTAGAAGGATGGAGCCAGCCAGACAGGATCTTCCTCCCTCTCTTCCTCCCTCCCTCCCTTCAGAGGGACACCGGTGGTCACCCAGTTTCAAACAGATCTTCTGGGGTCCATTTCTCAGAACTGGACCAGTTCCTGCATGCTGTGTGGTTCCTTAGCTGTGACCCAGCATGAAGTTAACTGGACGCCAAGAGCTGGGAGCCACAGTGCTGATTGGGGTCACCCTTGAGCTTCCTGGCCAGGATGCCTCCTGTGGGAGTGGAGGTGACCCCAGCCCCTCAGAAGCTACCCAGATCCCCCTGTTATTCTGGCCTTTGGCCTGCTCACGCACGATATCAGCAGGACCAACCCATGGCACTCCCTCCTCCCCACTGCAGCGCCTGAGGTCAGCATTTGGATCCGCTGATGTTCCATGCATTACTCTCCTACTTAAAGAATGAGTCTTTTCCTATCTGTGGGATCATTGCTGATTTTTCTTAGTATTTAAGTACAATTTAAAGTTACCATAACTATTCTGTTGTTGTAGTACAATATCATGGTAAAAAAGTGTTTTTCTGTTGTTGCGTTGATGGAGTGTTTCTGTCATGACTCCTTCCATTGCTTCAGACCTGAGACTGTTTGTATCTCTCACCAGATCTTATAAATAAGCTGCTCTTGCTTTCTACTTTTTCTATGATTATAACACATCACAGCTGGTGTAGTGCCACACATCTGTAATCCCAGCATTTGGGAGGCTGAGGGAAAAGGATCATGGTGAATTTGAGGCCAGCCTGAGCTACACAGTGAGTTCAAGGCCAGGCTGAATCACACATAGTGAGACCCTGTTGGAAAACAAAACAAACACAGCAATCACAGAGCAGGCAAATGGTGTCTGGCTGTAATCCCAGCTAAAAGAGCTGCTTCTGAGCCCAGAGGAGTTTCCTTGCGAGGCCGAGGCAAGGAGGATCAGGAGTTTCATATTAGCCCAGCCTACATAGTGAGACTGTCTCAAAACAAACATACCACCACCACCAACAAAGCATACAACCCTTTACTCCACTTGGCGGTTACTCCTACCAGCATCTCTTTCTTAAACCAGGCCTGTTGGTGCATGCACACTTGTAATCCCAGCACTCTTGGAGGATTGCGAGTTTGAGCCTAGTTTAGGCAATATAGTAAGAACCTGTCTCAAAACTTAAATTTACTTTATATGTTGTTTGAGAAGTGGTATGATTTGGTAAATTTTTATATGTGGTTGGGCTTATTTCTGATCTATGCTGCTGATATTTATAATTTTGCACAAGCATGTGCCCTTTAGTTATTGCTTTATATATTTTCCAGTGCTTTCTGAAAAGCTCTTTTTTCAGGTTATGTTTCTGTTCCTTCCTGAATTCCAGGGAGGTTTGTTTGAAGGTTAAATATTTGACCCAAGGTCAAATGGTAGGCCAGTGGCAGATGAGGGACTGAAGCCCAGTTAACCTTAAAAAGATTTTGTGGATTGAAAAAGCCAGGATTACTGAAAAAAAAAAAAAATCCTCCCTTAGGGGCTGGGGATTTAGCTCAGCGGCATAAGCGCCTGCCTTGCAAGCAGGAGGTTGTGAGTTCGATCCCCGGTACCGATAAAAAGGAAAAAGACAAAAAAAAAAAAAAAAAAGCCAGGATTACTGTTGAAGAAGAAGAAGAAGAAGAAGAAGAAGAAGAAGCAGAAGCAGAAGAAGAGGAGGAGGAGGAGGAAGGAGAAGAGGAGGAATAGAAGGAGGAGGAGAAGAAGCTGCCTCCAAGATCTCTGAATGTTTAAGGAGGAAAATGGTTTGGATCAGAATTCTGTTAAGTCAATGAAGCATGATTGCTTTGATCTCAAAAGAGCAAGAAGGAACGATAGGATTGGAAGTCACTTCACTGTGGCTCCTTTTCCTGATTCCAGGCCAAGAATATACACTTCCGAGACCACAAAAAGAGACCCTACTTTTGCTAATACCTCCATTAGAGGAATAGGAAGTAGACAAGTGTTGATTGTTTCAGCAAAGTGCTGCACGTCTACTAGGAAGAGGATGTGGCAGCCTAGGTGGGCTCCTTG